AGAATTTGAGAGAATGCGTTTAGTGCTTGTGGAAGACATCAGACTGACAGCAACATCCTTAGTAACAAAAAGAGCACGAGCCTCCCCGACCTATTAGCACCACACACATTCTGCTTGGCTAATTGCAAAGTTTCACTGCCAGTAGGATCATCTGTGCCAGAAGTTTAACATAATTCATCAGCACTAGGTCAACCCAAAGGCATAACACAAGCTCCGTTTGTGATGACTTGTTATTTTCCCATACCAATCTCATTTGTACCTAAGCTAGTTGGAGCACACATATGTATGCAGGTATGGGATTCTAGAAATGTTAGCTACACTTTATTTGGGTATAAGCACCTTCTCCGTAAGAGAAAGTTAACGAATCTGCCTGTACGTACAACAAGAACTGTGATGTGTGCACCGGTCCCACTTTCCTAGCACTGAAGACATTTCTGCTGGCTATTACAGCAAGCGCAAGGTCATGGTTAGTGTGATTGATTTTCAGGACCTCAGTCATCAGTATTGCATGCAACAAGCTGGATTAGACTCCCCCAAAAATTCTGATCTTTGCCACCTTCTTTCTAATTCACTTTAACCTGCAGAACATCTCATACACTAAAGGTCCTCTTGAAAAGCTTCGTAGTAGTTGCTTACAATCTAGTGATTTCATACAGTTTCTATCCACTTCTTTCTGCAGTAGACAACAGTACAAGAACACAGCACAGGCATAAGGCAGGCCATATTCTGAGAAGACACTGCAGCTTTAAGTTATGTTGGTTTAACTTACACATATGGGGAAGCAAGGATCAACAGAAGTTCAGGAAAAAGATACTGACTGATATTGTAGTAAAAAAAATGCCAAACAAACCAGAGGAAAACCCACCAGTTTTCTCAGTTCAATAAATGAAAGACATTCAAACACTAGTGTGTTCATTCTTTAAAAGCCTTAAGCATTTTAACTTGTACACAGGCATCTTCGTGACAGCAGTTTTTCTTCTTTAGCTCCACGCTTCAAGAAATGCAGAGTTCAAAAAATAGACCAGCCAACAGGTAACACCGAGCTGCCAGAGTCACCATGCCTTTGAACTGGCAGAATATCATTCCTGGTGTCCTGCAGTCAGTGTCGCCTCACAAAAGGTGAGAAGTCCAGCTCAGATGCATGAAGTCCCTGCAAAAAGGTAATCCAACCCAATGCATTCTGTGATTCTGTGTGATTCTGTGATTCTGCAGATTCATGGTCACAGAGACTTCCATCTTCTATCTTTCTGATGTACAGGTTTAAATGGGTACCAAGTGAATTCAGAGTGAGATGATAACCCTCCCTCCCTGGTTAAACATCCCTTGCTTTTCCATCCTCAACTTACAAATTACATCAATCTCTCCAGCTTTTTCCTTTTCCAGGGAAACTGCTGTATTACCCTTTCCTGCAGGCATCCATGCTCTAGGAGTAACATCACAGGAACAGAACTTGGCCACAGGTACAAGCTTCCATCTCGGTAAGACCATTGCAAATTCACCTTTCCAGTCTAAAACTTGTTATACAAGGTTGAGGTTACTGCTATAGGAAAACCTATCAACCCAACCACTGTGAGTCAGGTTTAAAACTGCCTTAAGAGCTCTCACCCCCCAAAGTGCTGTTCATTTTATCTCACAAATTACTTCAATATGAAGGTGAACAACCTTAGTGCTGCTTTAGGCACACAGGAACAGTGTCAGCGGAAAAGGGTTGACTTGATGTCAGCCATACTCATTTTTGTTTTAAAGCTTCCTTTATTCTGCTAAGCTTTGCATCAAGATGCACCTCTTTTAACGCAGCAAAAAGGGGAGTAAAAAAAAGTATGTGTGCAAGAGGAAGGTAAGCTTTCAGCCAAACCATCCTCATGTCAATTCTGTGATGTAACTGCATGAACAATCAGGCACCAGACAGACAGCTGGGTGCCCAGGACAAATGGCTGGTGTTGGACAGGCCAGACTGCTCCTCTCCAAGCCAGTGCCAGCTGAACATCATTTGAACAGCTCCTGCACTTCATAGAGGATCCTCTCAGTTACAGCGCCCCAGAAATTGAGTTCAATAGACCTGCAGCAGCCCATGACAGAGGGCGTGGGAATCACATTTCACATAGAGTTCGCGTTTGTGGTTTCTTGACAAGAGCTCAGGCAGGTTCAGGCCCTACTGTACATTCTGCGGCTTACTGAGCACACGGAAACATGCCACAAATCACCTCAACCGAGCAAGTCCAGGGCCATTGCTTGGTGATCAAGTTTGATTTTACACTAGATACCCCAGCAAGAGCAGAAATCTCTGAAGTAAGAGCTGGACATGTATGATGGTGGCCACAAGATCTTGCCTTAAGGGCCATAAAAAGCTCAGGGACCAGTTTGCTTGAGAGGAGAGATGGAACAGACCCCTTTACCTCCGTGCTGCTCTCACAAACTCCTAGGTATTCAGGGTGAGGAGGAAGGAACACCCTCCTTTACATCCTGCTGAGGGGTGACCTCATTCATGTTTATAAATTTGTAAAGGGCGAGTGTCAGGAGGAAGGAGCAAGACTCTGCTCTGTGATGTCCAATGCCAGGACAAGGGGCAATGGGAGCAAGCTGGAGCACAGGAGGTTCAACCTGAACATGAGGAAAAACTTCTTTACTGTAAGGTTTACAGAGCACTGGAACAGGCTGCCCAGAGAGGTTGTGGAGTCTCCTTCTCTGCAGACATTCAAAACCCGCCTGGCCGTGTTCCTGTGTGACCTGGTCTGGTGATCCTGCTCTGGCAGGGGTTGGACTGGATGAGCTTTCGAGGTCCCTTCCAACTCCTTCCTTCTGTGATCCTCCTCATGAACCCCTTTTCCTTTTGTTCAAAACTACCTAAAAGCCCAACCTGAAGGTGCATCTGCTTCTCCTACCCCCTTGGGAAGGGCCTCTCCTAAGCCAGCTGGGGCCAGGGCCCCAGGGTTCATTACCAGGCCAACAGAAGACACCTGGCTATGGCTGGGAGCCTCCACCTTACCGTGCAGAGCACAGCTCTCCCCACCTAGCACAGCCCTGAGGACTCCCTGCAAAAGGGATCTACAGAGCCAAAAAGTCAAAATCCCAGTGGGATTAGCTGTTCATACAGATGCAGCAGGGAGAGCCAGAATGATCAGCATTAACAATAGGAGTGTTAGAAGGGGAATTAAGCCTCATGTCTCTGGGACTAAGCTAGTTTAATGATTAGAGGCCAATCTTCAGGGGCTGAAAATGGGAGACTACTCCACTTGCCTCTCAACCATCGAGGCTGGCCAGATTCAGGGTATCAGGAGACCTTTTGTGTCTGCAGGACTCAGAGTTTGGAGAGCCCTTTTGGTAGCTGAACCTCTCCACCTCATACCCCTAGAGGCTGCCAGGAGCTGCAGAGACTCCTGAGAAGTTATTCCCTCGCTTTACCCACAACATCACTTCACCACATACACCCACCTAGCTTTCCCTA